GTGTGTGTGTGTGTGTTGCTGCATTGCTTGGCACGAACTTTCAATTGCGATACCAATGGTTGAAGAACAGCTACAAATGATGCTAGTCATGCTGCATTGCTTGCCAAAAAGAGTCTGCATAATATTCTTCCCAAAGCATCAGTAAGTCACTCCTTACATTGCTTTGTGTCCGTTGTTGGTATGGTGTGGTGGTGGCATGCTGATTCTTGACGATCTGTTGCTCCCTTTGCGTTGCTGATTTTTCTTGTGGATTCCAACCCAATAGCCATGGCCTCCAACCTAGTAACGATGGCCTCCAACAAAAAAGCGATCGCCTCCAACCTAATAGCCATGGCCTGGAACCAAAAAGCGATGGCCTGCAACCTAATAGCAATGGCCTCCAACGCAAAAGCGATGGCTCCATCCTAAGAGCGATGGCCTCCAACCTAAATAGCGATGGCCTCCAACCTAATAGCCATGGCCTCCAACCTAATAGCGATGGCCTCCATCCTAAAGCAATGGCCTCCAACCCAATAGCCATGGCCTTCAACTTACTTGAGAAGAAGGAGAAACGAAAGGTAGGAAAGCCGGCAGGTGGTGGCTTGGTGGAATCCACACATTTACCTCTAAATATGGACATGTACAACGAGGTTTGGTGTAAACGTTGGTTTGTGTAAACACATGATTTGGTGTAAGCGGTGGTTGGTACAAACCCTTGGATTGGTGTAAGCGGTGGTTGGTGTAAACCAAGGTTTGGTGTAAACGGTGGTTGGTGTAAACCGTGGCTTCGTGTATATAGACGGTGGTTGGTGTAAACCGTGGTGCGGTGTAAACGGTAGTTGGCCTAGCGATGGCCTCCAACCTAATAGCAATGACCTCCAACCTAAGAGGCCTCCAACCTAATAGCGATGGCCTCCAGCCAAATGGCAATGGCCTCCAACCTACTCGCAATGGCCTCCAACCTAATAGCAATATCCTCCAACCTAATAACGATGGCCTCCAACCTAATAGCGATGGCCTCCAACCTAATAGCAATGGCCTCCAACCTAATAGCGATGGCCTCTAACCTAATAGCAATGACCTCCAACCTACTAGCAGTGGCCTCCAACCTGATAGCGATGGCATCCGACCTATTAGTGATGGCCTCCAACCTAATAGCCACGGCCTCCAACCTAATAGCAATGGCCTCAATGGCCTCCAACCCGATTAAGAGCGATTGTGCTGGTTTGTTACCATTTGTTTTAGTCTGTTGTTTAGGGATTTGCCCATTCACACTTCTCCTGATACTTTCCAGATACAAACTCATCACAGGACCTCAAATCGCAAATGCCTGCTCCCTCCGAAAAGAACAAGTATACTGTATACCATGACACTCTATACTTTGCGGGTGGGGCCTGCTTCCGACATGATCACAAGACTATCCAATCAGGACCAGGAGCCGTTTAGGGGACCACCTTTGCAAAGTAAGGCCAGTACCCAAAACAAATCTCAACTACGACGTAATGACAGGAACCCGGATGTTACATGAGAATTTCACTCCACGGGCATGTTGCATTGTTTCCAAATGCGAGCCCTGTACCAAAATCAAAGTGAGTTGCTCAAACTCTGCCAACAGTAATGTTGCAACCACACAACGCAGAGATCAACCCAATCACACTGCTCCAGCCACCACAAACAGCTGGGGTGTGGGTAGATCATTAAAGCAGAAAGGAATTCTACCAACACCAAAACTAGAGTCATAGTGTGTACACAGAAAGTAGTATGAGGTTTTGGACTCATCATTGACTGCAGCATGCCTCTAGCTTCTCTTCTCGTGAGAGTGAACTTGAGGGTCCAAATCGCACTCGGCCCTTGGAACCTGAAGCAAGATTGCTAGGATTCTCTCAAGTTCTTGGCTTTGCCCATCAGTAAACAACTACTGTAAAAGAGTCATCTGTGGGCATGGCCATCGATCATGTCGTGCCAAACATGAGCCTCTTCCTGCTCATCGCACGAATGGAACGGAACTTGGGTCCTGCTTCGTTTCCCAGCAAGCTAAGAACCAATGCGTCCTTGGAGCATTGATGCAATTCATCCACTACCTTGTCAGCATATCGCACACCAGCTGTATTGTGAACGCATACATGTTCATTGGCTTTTGAAATGCAGGCACCTGTGGAGCTTCAAAAGATGCCATCAATGCTGCGGTCAACTCGACCTATCAGGATTTGAGCTTGAAACTGCTGTCTTAGTAGTCAGTCAGTGTTTCAGGTACAAACTGCATACCTGTTTCATGACAGAGGAGCCAGCTGCATTCTTGTGGGCAGCTTGACCGCATTGCTCCCAGTATCCAGGGACAGGCTCGCCTGTCAACGATCGGTTATCAGAGTTCAACAATGTCTAGGCAGTTTTCCATGCTTAGGCTCCGGCTGACAGTCTGCGAAAGTACATGCAAGCGCTCCTTGAAAATCCACGAGCATGGAGGCTGTGCTCACTGGCGCTTCTTATCTCTCTTGTCACTACCATCAGCAGTCCTCCATCCGAAGGAATGCCATCACTTCCGTACAAAGGAAGCGAAGAAACTCTTTCTTCTCAAATGCCTCACGGACTGGTTCTCCAATCCAATTGACGTCTACCTTTTCTTCCAATTTGATCGCAGCACTCTTTCAACCAGCACCTGATGATGAGCTGGATGGAGACATTTCCGCCGCATCCTCAATTCCTAGCAAGCACGCATGCGGGCTTGGTTTGGGCCTTGTGCTGGTGCCACATGTAGAAGACAAATACCCCCGCTCCGAGTAATAGTACTTGGGCGTGGAGATGAAATTGTCTGGTGTCCTGGGTTTGCTCAGTTTGCTCGCTGTGCAAATTCAACAAGGTCCGAGAATCACTCGTCCTTGCCAGCAAACCTTTTGCGTGTGCGTCGACCTCCTGCACACAAAAGGTAAAGCATCGATTTGTGACAATCCAAAGGCCAAAGTCGCACCTCGCATTGCTCTACAAGCCAACACAGGGTCTTTCGAAGTCTCTCTGCACCCTCCTGAGAACCGTTGAAGCAACAGAGATGTTTTGAAACACAAGCCTTCGCAAACCAGGAAACAAAATGAATCAATGTCCTCGTGGAGGTCGCCGGGAAACTGATTCTGGATCTGCGAATAGGTCTGGGCGATCCAACGAAGAGTTTGATGATGCCGCTCCACCTGAGCCTCGAAACGATACGAGAATTTCCAGACCCAGCTAGCACAATACTACAGCCCTGGGATTCAAGCAGTGCTGTCGGCTCCTGTTGCCCATCTCATGGGCGTTGCCTACACTCCCAGCGAAGAGCAAGTCTGAGGATTCCTGGTTCTTACAGGTTCTTTCCTCCTGGTTCTTTACCCGAAATCAAGAGATCCCTATTTTGAGCCTGCCTCCATCTGTGCTTGCAATTTCTGCAGCTCTTCTCTGGCAAACAGCTTCAATGTTGTAGGAGACCTTGGAAAGCAAGTTCTTGGCAAGTAGATGCACTTACGGAAAATGCCACAAGAGTTGAGCTTGGACACGGAGCGAATGTTTGCGTCACCGTGGCTGCTTTCACTGCAGCTGATGACACCCAACCTGAAGGAATCAAGCAATCAAGCACCGACGCACATACATCTGCCTAGAAGATCAACCTTCACTCGTCACAGCAAGCTTATGAGGGCCACACGTGGCACGCGCCTTGACACTCCAGAAGGAAGCCTTGCCGCATCAATGTCAAAGTTGGGGTTAGGACTGAGAGACATCGTGCCTGCAGGCCAAACAAGCAACACCTGCTGCAGACACCAACCTGAACCAAGCACAAATTTATATATATATATACACATGTCACAGGTGATTGGTCTCAGCAAAATATTGCGTGACTCACTTGATTGGACTCACTTGATTGGACTCACTTGATTGGATTCGTTTGCCTGACGCCCAATTCGAGCTGGAAACAGGGATTTCATTTCTCAAAGCCTAGCCAAGATACAAATGGTCTTCCAGTATATAAAGCCCAAACCAGGTTTGGAGTTTGGAGCCAAAATGTGGATTGATTCAGTGTCAGGAGTCTCGTATATTGATGGAAGCAAAGGCTTTGCTGACGGCCTGCTTTGTCTGAATCCATTCGCAATACAAAAATTGCATGCGAAAGCACCATGATCACGCGGTCCAGATGACTCACGCGAACGAAACCTCAAATCCTTGTGGAAATGACTCGACTCATTAGTGGTTTACTAATCACCCGGCTCAAATTAACCATATATAGACCACTTTCCAAGGACTAGAGTGAACTTGAAGCTCCCGGCACATATTGAGCGCTCAGAGTTTCGTGCTTGACCTTGGAGGCCAAAATGCTTTCAGAATGTCAATGTGTCAAGGAGTTGGCGACAGCTTTCAATGCCGACTTGGCCGTTGACGAGATGGTCATCGGATTCTTTTTGTTTTAAAACGCTGGCTGATGTCTTACTTGTCTTTGCAAGCCTGAAGAACTGGTGCAAGGGTTTCGGCAGTCCATTCCGAGCCGATCCGGCCAAGTCAGGAGGCGAAAGCCCAAATGTGGGCCTGTACTGTGGAAAATACAATAGCGAACATTGTTTCTAATAGCAAACATGGTTACTAGTAAGGCACTTGTTACTAGAAGCGATGCACTTGTTCCTAGTAGCGAACATTGTTTCTAGCCCTTGGCCCTTTCATTTGCAACCATGACGAGGTCCATAGTCTGCCGCAAAACGTCCAATCGCCCATAGTGGAAACACATTTCGAAAGGCAGTGTACCTGATTGAAGATGGTGTTCAAACAAAGCTGCGCTCAAGGTTTGAATTAGAGAAACAAAAGCGCAGCTGGGCAACGTAATCCCGATGGAACGATTGAACCTGGGGCATGCAAAAGGTTTGAGAGGATTGTATCTTCAGCCACTGGTCTCCATGGCACAATGGCAGCTCGACAACTAAGCTTCCAGCACTCCTGCAACATTTTCCTGTGGCCAGTCTCCGGTTGACAACTGCCGTCGCCGAAGCAGCGCAATTCCACGTTGAACCGCTTCGATATCCTCCAAAAGTAAAATAAATGATGTAACAAAGTAGAGGTTGCACCACCATTCGAAATTGTGGTTTGCCAAGAAGAATGAACAAAAGTATCCTTGCAGTTTGCCGCCATGAGTGCGAGCAATGCCCAAGAAGTTTGAACGACAGTACTCCCCGAATCGCATCCTGCCCAAACTGTGTGAATGAATGCAATACATCACATTCTCACCAAATTCACAGAATTGCAAATTAGGTACTGAGCGGTGACCCCCCGTGAAGCATTCCAAATGTTTGTTTGTGCAAACAGGCCAAGTCGCCGTAGAGCTTCTCCCTTGCCGCATACTCTCTGTTGAAGCAGCTCGCAAAGTCTTCGCCCCACCCACCATCCGAATTCTGCTTTCCTCGGCTAGAGCATTCTCAGACACCATTCGAATTCGGCCTGCAGGCACTTGTGCCGCCAAGTTCCTAGCAGAAACTTCACACATGCCTCTATGGGTCTGCAGGATGCTGGCCTTCCGGCACACAGAAGGCCTCACACGCACGCAGAGGGCATTCCTTCGCATCTCGATGATTAGAAAATGTTGCCAGAGAAATGTGAAGCACCTTAGCTAAGAAAACTGGAAGTAACTCTTTGACGTCACTGTTGTCATCTATGTAAAAAAAATACCAGCATGGACCCCGAACAGCAGGAGGATCTGTTTGTGTCGATTCCTTGAGTTCCAATGTTGGCGCAAGGGAAAACGGAACGGCCAAACCGGGCCAGTCTGTTTTTTCCTGAGAAAGAACGCCAATAAGAAAGAACCCCAACAGTAAACTGTTCGGGGAACCACCCTGCTCACAGTTGTTTGCGAGGGCAACACAGGTGAACTGTGCAAAGGTCTTTGTGGGAATGTCAGCTTGAGAGTCTTTGGAGCCTATGGAAAATGGAAGCTTTCCAATGCACCTGGAAAGTGGCAAGTGGGCACCCGCTTCGTAGTACGGTGCCGGGAGGCCTTCAATTCCAAACCAGCAACCGTATGTGAAGCAGTTGCCCCAGCATCCATACCAACTTCCGTCGCTTCGCTGCCTGAAGCTCGACAAGGCAAAGCGAAGCGGCTAAAGGAAAAGGAACCAGAATTGTTTGGTCAAGGCCGAAATTATGCCAGCATAGACCACAAACAGCTTCAGCATTGATTGTTCGGCGTCAGCTCCTTGAGTTCCAATGTTGGTGGTAACGTCTGCATTGGGAGTGGCATGTGTACAAACTACACCAGCATGGCAAATCGTTTTTGTCGGCGGCACACTGCAGCGGCACTCTCCAGCAGCGCCGGCACCCAAGGCTCCAAAGCGCACACGGCCACACATCTGGCAGCTGCACCCTGCAGCGGCACCAGCACCCAAGCTCCAAAGCGCACACAGGCTCCTCTTCCTATACTTGAAGTAAGAACCCCAATAGCTCTCACTATCTGGGGAAACATGTTAGAAAACAATAGTTCCTGATTCCCAGGATATATGTCTTGAAAAATCCAAGGATGACATCAAGCACCGCATCACTGCTGCATTCATACCACACGAAAGCATGCCCGGATAAGGCAGTGGAGCAAGGGAAAGCTGCGTGGCCAAGCAGGGGATAAGGCCAGGACAAGGCGGTAAGCAAAGGGCAGACAACCCAAGCGTTGGACAAGGCCTGGACAAGGCGGCGAGGCCAACAAGAACAACACAGGGACACACAGACCCAAGACAAGGACCGGACGAGGCCACAGGGTTCAGGGGCACGCCAGAGACTGTGGCCAGTGTCCTTTCTTCTAAAAGAGAACCCCAACAGCAATCTGTTTGGGGAACCTAACTACCACAACAGAATCTAAGGTCATAGGTGTTAGTTAGTTTAGTTCTTACAGAACAATGCCTTAGATCAAGCGTTATTCTTCGCACAAGCTTTTCCATGCGTAGAACCAAACCAAACCGACCTTCCGTGCAAGATACATTGCTTCTATGAAGCGAGCCCCACGCTGGATGGCACCAGCAATTTCGCGCGCCCGATGCTGAGGGAACTGCTCCGTGAACAGCATCAATGCCTCACGGAGGTCTGAAGCTAAGTCACAAGTTTTGACAATCTGTCTTGAAACAACACACACAGCAGAAAGGGAACAGGGGAACAACAACCTTCCAGTCCGTGCCAGCCAAACTTCAGCTCTCCCAGCAGCCAGTATTCTGAGACAAACAACATTACCTGTGCTGATGGTGCACATCTTACCAAGGTCTTTCTGCGCTCCAGTCTTCCTCTGTGTCACAAGTTGATTGCTTCCGTTCGGTTGATGAACATTCGTGGGATCTCCACACATCAATGTTGCTGCTGGACTTTGATCAAGATGAATCCCAACTTTGCTCTGTCACACCTGCATGCACGCTTTTGACCTCTGCACCGCAATGTGCATTCACACATCACACCCAGTCAGGTTGAGATAGGGGGGAACCCGAAGCTAGGCACCTTTTGGCGACGCATCCAAACAGGGCAGGCAGCAGCCTGGCCCCCCACCTGACATCTATCCTGTAGTTCGATCATGGGGAACACAATTTTCAGATATTTACACTGAGGGCGGGTCGAACATGTTAAGGTCCATCCACTCAAAGCTTGATCAAATGTCAATCCTGAACAAAGTCCTAGCAAACCTGCCAAAGATATTGAAAGAAAACCACTGAACAACGAACCCACTAGGATCACCAGACATATTACGAGTGATTGCGAAAAGCCTACCGGTACAGGGTCCCCTACAGATTTGTATACAGGTGCAAATGCATGCCATACCAGACCATACCATACCTTACATGACATGACGTTGCATTGCATTGCATGTCATACATCAGCTTCTGCTGCTAGTGAGCTTTCTCCGAAGTGTTTAAGCATATGTGAGCTGTCTTGTTGCTTGCTTCACATGGGCGTGGCCAAACGCGGGATGCAGCTTCCTTTTCACTAGAACAGAACGTCACTTTGGTGTTTCAGTGCTTTTGGCTTTTGGTAAGGATGAGGTCAATGCACTTGTAAGAATTTAGCGTGCAAAAGCGTTGATGACAAATAGACTTTACACCGCACAAACTGTGCGTTATTGTCAATTACGTGTCTTTTTCTTGCTCAGTAGCGGTATGTGTAAACACTGGATTTTCCTGAACCTTCAAGTCGCAAAGAAAGATTCGTTCTTTTCTTGATTCATGCTGATTCATAGTGCTTCTCCTGTGGCCTGCATAGCTGAAGAGGAGCACTCCACATACGAATAGTCGATCATGATATCCCCAAAAACCTGCCAGCCAGTTCAATGCTAGAGCTAAGTAAAGAGAGACTTTGCATCTCTCATTCCAAAATCTTCAGAAATAGCCTCCGAAGGGTTCAGGAGCTCATACCAACTCCAGCCACGATT